TCTACAGGGTGGATTTCAAAGAAATAGCTGTAGCTCAGTTCCACAAGTGATGCCTAGTCACCAGTAACTCTCACAGTTATTATGCATGTCCACAACACACTAGAACTTTGTGCGATATCCTATCCTCAAACTGTTAGAAGTGCTGGTCATTTACTTGCCATTCCAGTATTTATCTTATGTTGTACTCTCAGTAATTCTTTGCTATCATGAAAACTTTTTCTGAGTTTAATTGTTTGGAAAAATTTAATTTTCTGAATATTGCTTAATCTTAATTTTTGTTCTAAGATTTATATTGTATCTTTGACTTACAATTTATTTAAAAGACATTATATGATATCTTCTCCTAGTATTAGAAACTTTAAAAAGTATATTTCCATTTTCTGTTGACTTTAAAAAAAAAGCAGAGGTTTGTACCTATGTTGTTTATTTATTATTTCTTGCCTGTATCTTGTAATGTGAGAAACTACTTTGGCAGTAACAATACACAATGTACTAACCATTATTACTCTTCTAAAAACTTGTTTTGAGATTTTGTAAAATAAATAAATAAAATAAAATAATAAAAAAATAAAATACTATGAAGACAACAATATCCAATGTATTAATTATTGAAACTATTCTAAGAATCAGTTTTGAAACTGTCTCATTGCTACATGTTTCTCAATAAAATTCATTAAAGAAGCAAAAAAAAGGGAAATCTCCAAAAGAATATATTGAAGAACTTTAAACAAGCTATTGAAAAAATTATTGGAGTCCTCCCCTGCAGAGGGGCTGATGTATCTGGTGTGCATATTATGAACACACAGGAGGAGCGTGTAAGCCCTGAGACTCAGACTCATGGGTAATTAAATATCAAGGCATTGTATATATAATAGCCCCAAATAGCACTTACTCAGGAAGAACATGTTAGTGCTCTACTAAAAAAATCATCACATAAATAAATGGAATAACCAAGTCACTGAGGGATTTTAAATTGTTTACATGAAAATTCCCTTTATTTGTTCATGTATGTTTTCATTTTTATTGAAGACAGGGTCTCTGAGTGTAGCTATGCTGGTGGCAAACTCAAGGTGACCCTCAGGTCTCAGTGTCCAAAAGTCTGGGATTATATACATGTACTTGCTTTAAATGTGAGGTTAATTTTATGAGCATCTGGAAAGACTCCATACAAGACTGACCTTCATGGCTTCATCACTGTTCCTGGTAGAGTGACACAATTGACAACACAATTGCCAAAATGAGAGATTTATTTTGTGTGACAATTCAGTTCATAAGCCAGCATGGGAGAGGGACGTGGCAGAGAACAAACAGCTCATTGTTTGGCGATGGGAACATATAGTTGAACTAGATTTGCTTTTAACGTCACAAATGTAAACTAATTGAACTAATTAAGTGCAGAGAATCATTCCCACAGGTGCCCTCCCCTCCAGAAATGCCAGCTGTCAGTTTCGGAGGCTTTGTGCAGATAAGGAGTTTAAGAAAATTGAGTCTTCAACGTGGAGGTCCATAGAAATGTGGAACCATGGCATTGACTGTGTCTTCAGTAGCATTGGTCCTCTATGACTTTCCAGCTCCCATTTGACTCAAGTCTTCGAAACTGATATATTACACACAAATCCACAGAGTACGTGTAGATCTGGATGCTGAGAGATGGTCTTACGTCCTTCAAGACCTCTATGAGCGCAGCACAGACTTGGGAGAATCTCTGAGGATGCAAGGACTCTGTCGGGATATTGTGTTCATAGCTCTCCAGGGGTGCAGGATACAGCCCCTCAGTTAACTGGCTCAGTCGAGCAGTCAGGCGAAGCAGCTCCTGAAGGGTGCCCAGGGATAAGGGGTTCCCATAGCAATGGAAAGTCTTGAGGTGAGAGCAATCGCTAAGCGCAGGCAAGATGGCCAGCATCTGGGAGTCTGTGATTTCGCAGTGCTCTAGGGTCAAGTTCTCTAGTGTGTTGGTGAGTCTGCCTAGCAGAACCCGCAGGGTCTCAAAATTGAATGATCCCATTGAAATCTTCCTCAGAGTCAGAGACCTGAGCTGGCCTGTACTTGCACATTGAGACAGATGCCTCAGGTCAGATTCATTGAGTGGACTTGAGCACAAGGAGAGGACCTCCAAGGACATCTTACTCCTGTGAAGAGAGAAAAGGTAATTTGGATGAATGAAATCATGATTAGGTGCTGTAGAATGACTTCTCCTTAGGAGAGCCTGCTGATGTCCAACAGAGCCCTCACTCTCTGATGATCACACAGATGGTGTGTGTTGAAGACACTGAGCCCTTCAAATTGCTCTCACCTGTGTGAGTAGCTCAGCCCACATTTCCTTAGTGTCCTGCCCTCTATGGCATGGAGCAAGATAAAGATCTGTAGAGATTCTCAAGCCAATCATTACAAGGAAGAGTGAAAACAGGCAGGTTTGATCAAAGGTCTGCTGTTCGTCCTGTGCCCCCAGGAAGTCATTTATTCCTGTCCTATACCTATAATCCTCCTGCACACCTTAGGCTGAAGTCTCGCAGTTTTACCTACTATTTTCCCAGTTTGTATACAATTAGGGCTTTTAATTTGCTGTTCCTGGAAAGTCTTATTAGCTCACTTATGGTGTTTCATGCAAGTGGCTGCATCACGGATATGATAACAGACTATGGTCAGACACCTCTAGGAAATGTGAGATAAAATCACTGATTTCTACTCTTATGGATGCTGCGCTGTTTTTCTAGCTGTGAGCAATGAAGCTAATGTGCCAGGTACCATTTGTAAAGCACATAGACTCTGTTTTACTTCCCTTTACAGCTTGACAGACATTCAATTTTTCACGTGCCCCATCTTGAAGGTTTCCCTTCTCCATTCCTGGCACCCTAGCTAGATCTGCTTTCCCAGGACTAAATCAAAAGCACCCTCATTGTGCCAGCTCCTGGGATTTCTGGACATGGAGCTGCTCCCAGATTCCCCTCCAAGTGTAGGATCTGCCTTCACATGGGTGGTTAAATGAGATCGTACTAAGTCCCCAAATTGTTGTCTTTCATACTTCCTAGTATCCTCACCAAGGACATCTGCGGGGCACACAGATGCTCTCTTCTTATCTATGGTAACATGAATGTATAGGGAACTCACCGCAAGATCTCATGCAGATTGCCCTGCAGGAAGTAGACTTCATCTAGGTGAAGCTCCCGGAGACTGTGCAGCTGTCTTAAATGAGATGCATAGATGCGGGAATACCACTTGTTTTCAGAGGATGAGATAAAAACTCCTGCACTCAGAGTGCTGAACTGAAATGTGTGAAGGTTCTTCATCTTCTTGAGCTTATGAGCAAATGCTGTCATGGTACTTGGACTCCAGTCACTCAACACGTCCAGCTCATGGATTGAGTCCAACTCCACAGACCGAAGAATCTTGAGGACATCGAAGGCAGCCGAGGAATAGATGGTCACCTTTTCACAGCACAGTTGTACTGAAGCTTTTCTCTTCTGGGCCCAGTTCAAGAGGCAAAGTAGTAATTCGTCTTGTGTGGTATAAGATGAAGCACAGTTTTCAAAATGAATTTGTGCTAATATTCTCAAGGTGAAATTTTTCTTCTTTAATACATGCTTGCTTGTGTCCTGACGCCTGGCATCTTTTGAGCAGGTGACCCTCCGGGCTCTGGGCCCCACAGTCCAGAAGTTCTGGTGTGCATCCCTCCAGTCCAGCACCTCAAGTTTCCACCTGCTATGGGTGATACAGAAAGCAGCATTAGAATTCAGATAGAAACAAAAACATAAAACAAATGCCTAGATGTCCTGCTTTTACTCTTCCTGCTCGTCAGCTGCCTCTCCATTTTTCTTGAATTTATTTCCTAGCATATTTATTTTTCATGCAGCTTCGTTGAACATCTCATTTTTGTGAGGGTTGGAAGAGGCAGGTTCCTCCTTCTTTCACTGGAACCTATATATGCAGCCCTCTTATCAGGAAATCACTATCCAGGTAGTACTTATCAAAATTTCAGACCTCTGTTATTTGCCTCCAATTCAGAAACAGCACCACAATTCAAATTTCCAAGATCAATGACAGCAACCATCCCTTCCACACAATACCTGGCCCCTCTCCCTTTTACTGATATATCCTACTCACCTGTGCTGAACCTTCTGCGACAGCTGCATATTAATTCCATGCAGTATGGCCTTTAGAGTCCTTAGGTTTCTCTGATGTGGTGTGAAAACTCCATGCAGAGTGTTTGGTATCTTGGGTTTCCTCAGATCCATTAAAGCTCTCAAAGGGAGGGAAGGGAATGGCCAGACCTGCACCATCACCTTCAATAACTCATTGTTTTCGCCCATGAATGCATCCAGGAACATGTCATGGTAGATGTGTGGGGGCAGATCATGCAGAGCAGTGCTCTATATGGTCTCACATTTCAAAATGCTCTTCTTGGCCAGTTCGTACAGAGGAGGTGGTGCGCTGTGCGTGGTCATTCTGCATTATCTGGAAGGAATTAGGAATGTGGTGAACATCCAGGGAGTGGCTCATGTGGGTGTCAACCTCATAGACTTCTTCTAACAACTGAAGACCGATTACAGGGTAAGGTCATGGTCTGGCTATGGTGAAGCATTGTCAATTCGACCCAATATCTCTGGGGTTTATGTCTACAAAGTTATATTTGTTTTCTTGCTCACATCAGGAAAAAACTAACAGGTTCAATTCAAATCACTATTTTCAATGCCAGGCCCTCTGGAAGTGGCTCCAACATGGAGTGAAATTACAGCCTGTACTTTTGAATGAAGATTCTTATCATTGGGCCAAGTCCCTACCATAGCAAAGGAAGTGATTGATGGATCTGAATGTCACCTTACTGTCCTTGAGTCCAACTTGGAGGAAGAAGTTAGAGCCATAAGTGGATGGCATCATGTTCAGTGTAAGAATTTACCTAAGCATATATATTAGCCATGTAACATTATTATAGTGCATTGGATGTTAGAAAAGGAAAATTCTGACTGAGGTATGTGTTGTCAAAATTCTTTCAGGAATGACATATTTTCACTTTGTGATTGAGTGCAGGACACAAATAGATGAAGACAAAATTTCAACCCTTAAAATAACATAGAGACATGAACAGCATGGAACCAATCTTTCACCCCAGCACTGTTGGAGACCACTGAGAACACTTCACAGCATATTCAAGTCCCATACATAGATTTAAGGAGTTAGCAAGAATAACTTGAAATAAATAATAATACCATAATCAATAGGTTTCAGAATGTGCTTCTTTGCAAATTTTTAAATTTAAACCCTAGTACCTAGAAAATTTAAAAAACAAAAACAAACAAACAAAAAAGCAAATATCTTGGCATGATACTTACTTGTTATCCAAGTGTGTTTCAGGCTGAGGGACAAAGATCAGTCCAAGTTCTAGGGCAGTCTGACCTACATTGGGAGTTTGAAGATACCTGTGCTTAGTGAAACACTGGCTTAAAAGACAAACTTTGATAACGAAAAAGTAAAAAAAAAAAAACATATATTAAAATCCAAATTATATATGAGGGGAAGAAATTCTATAGATGCTTTTTAAACTTTGTACCCTGTACTATGGTTTTAACATGACTTTTATTCTGAATTACCACTATAGTTTTCTTTTTTTTCTCTTTGATTGCATTTATACTTTTACAAAGTTCTTGCTCTACCAGGGATCAGACTCAGGAACTTGTGCTTTCCCAGCAGGCACTTACACTGCTGAGCTGTCTCTCCAGCCCCAATGCATGTTATATTTTGAGCCAGGATGTGACTTTTTCTAGCTGGCATAAATTCTTTTGATTGCCCTTCAATTAGATAAAAAGTCAACTACTCAAACACAAATTCTTTTATTTATTTATTTTTGTGTTTAGTACAGGGTCTACATGGTGTCACTATGGAGATTGGACTCATAGTGATCCTCCTGTTTGCAGCCACACAAGTGCTGGAATTATAGGTTCAAGCCACCATACCCCACATCAATCACCAGGCTAGCACATGCTGGGACCAAGGGCTGCACTGCAGGCCAGAGGATAGAACCGCTGCTCCCTGTGTCTGCACAAGCCAGCAATTTTTTTTTTCTGGAACAGAGGATTAAGCTCTGGGCCCCAGGCTTTCAGGCAAGTGCTTATTCTACTGAGCTACCTCACTGGGTCCTAAGGAACCACTTTAATCTGCTGAGCTACTTGGTCAACCCTCAAATACAGATTTTCCTTACTGCTTGATATTCTGCAGTGCTTAGATTACATGTATGCTCCACCATGCCTGACTTTACTTTTAATTCTTATGTTGATGAGGGTTTAACTGAGCTGAAACATTAAGTGAAAATACCCAAGCTAAAATAAAAAATGAATCAACCTTGAAATAAAATGTTCTTTCTCTCCACTGTTGTTTTTATGGAGGATCTCTACAAGTAATTCAGACCATCCTTGAATTCACTATTGAACCCAAGTTGGCCTCAGACTGACACTGATCTTACTGTTTCAGCTTCCTATGCACTAGGAGTAAAGTTGTGTTCCACCAGGGACTGGTGAACTTGCATACAGGAAATACAAAGGAATACTTACATTATGAGATATAAAATTCTTTGCAAAGTCCTGGTGGCTAGGTCTAGAGAATCAGCATATGCAAATTCAAGCCATAACTAGATAATTTAGTGACTTAGCAAGAGCTTGTATTAAAGAACATTAGAGGTAAGTGACCTCAGGAGAGAGGAATGTAGGGGATGCAGGTGAAGGGAAAGATGGGAGGAGAAAGGAAGAAGGATGAAAGACAGAGGGAGGAAAGAATAAAAATAGGGTGGGGGAGGCAAGAAAGGAACTTCTAGGCCTGTAGAGAGGGCTCAGAAGCATGGAAGGCTGTTTGGCATGTGTAAGTTCCTGAGGTCGATCAACAGTTTCAAATAAACAGAAACAGAAAGCAAACAAACATGCAAGCAAAAGAATGTTTCTAGCTGGATGAAGATGTAGAAGCTGCAAGTGCCTGCCTTGGGGGTTGACCAAAACTAATGGAGAGATCAAGATTAGCACAGACATTAGACAGCCCCATCGCAAAAAGAACAAAGTAAAAGAAAACAATTAAGGCCTGCCAGTTAGCCCTGTGGCCTAAAGAGCCTCCCACAGCACAGCGCAGCGGCCAAGGTTTGATCCCAGGTGTGAAGCGCACCAAATCCCAGTGCTTGGGAGGCTGAAAAAGGAGAATCACTGAGTCCAATGTACTTAGTAATACACCGTAGGCCGTGTACTTAAATACATTTACAGAAGACTAAACATACACACAAAAAAGGGAAACAGTTTTATTTAATGTGCTCGATCAGTCACACAGCATTGCTTCCTAACATCCTCCACTCTGGAAGAAAATGAAAACCCTTTTTATCTTCAATCTGTTGTAACAGGTTTACATCTAGAGTTCAGGGACAGGGAGATAGCTTGGAGTTCTAACTGGCTCCCTGGCATGCACAAGGAGATGGGTTCAATCCTTGGTACTGCATTTCTAGCCTGCCCTGTGCCTGGCCGGCCACAAAAACAAGGCTTGGTGATGTGTGCCTGTAAGCCCAGCACTGGGAACCCAGTGAAATGTGGATCAGTATGAGTCTGAATTGCATACTGATACTGTGCACCAAAGAATTTACCAAAAGATTCAAAGAAAAATTAAAGAATAAATTGAATAAATCTAGAGTTCATTGAATTTCAGTCAGGAGCTCCTTTGTCGTGCAAGCTTCCCAGGGGGTTCTAAAAGCAGTACTAGAGGCAGGTGTGCTGAAACATGCCTGTTGTCCCTGAAATCAGGTGAAAGTTACATGATGAATGAAGACAGGCCAGCGTAGGTAGGGAAATGATGTCTCAAAATCAAGCAACTCGTCAATCTAATTGAGAAATCATGACTAGTGGGAAAAATTGTAATTATAATTACAGCCCTGGGGAAGATGAGGTGGAGTTCTAACATATTCAGAAATAAACAGTGAATGAAGACAAACCTGAAATGCACACCTTCCATATGGATCCAATAAATAAGCTACTAATTGAAAAATAAAATTCTAGCCTAGGTGATCCACTCCAGCAACCTCAGGATTTTAGAAACTGTGGCAGGCTTGCACCTTGTACCTCAATATAGATACCTTAGTGAGAACTTATCCAAAAATACAAACTAACATAAAAAAGGCCCAATGGGTAGATCAGTGTGAAGGCAGTGATATGAAACCTGAGGAGAAAAACAAGACATAACTTGTCCAATTTAGTCCCGTTCAATCCAAGGAGTCCTTGCTCCTCCCATTCACCTGCTTCCGCATCAGGAGGAAGTCAGCTGACTGACAAGGGAGATGCACTGAGTTCAGAGTACATGGCATTCATTGAAACAATAGCATGAACATTTGAATAGTTTATAGAACAACAACTCTGGGCGTGGAGGTGCACGATTATAGTTCCAGTATGGGACAGTGAGGCAGGAGCAACACTGAGAGTTTAAAGCCTACAAGTGGGGTGCGAAGTAAGTTCAAGACCAGTTTGAAATACATACTGAGACTCCAATTAAACATATAAAGACATAAACTAATAAAGAAAACTCTAATACAAATGAAGAGATAAGGGAAGTAGGCAAGTTTGCAAATTGATGTTCAAAACAATAATGTAACTCTAGGTTGGTAGAAGCTGCCACATTCAAACTGAAAAGGAGGCAGAGTTAGGAGTTTCTGGAATCACAGCCAGCCTTGGCAACATCCTGAGGTGAAAACTAGCTGAGCAATAGGGCAATGGTGTGCAATAAGAAAAAAAAATCACTTACATATCCCCGAATTCTGCGAAGGGATAGAAAGCCCAGAAAACACAGAGCCATATAGGACCTCTGTATTCACAAGATCTTAGCAGGGGGTGGGTAGGTGGGGCAACCTCCTGGAAGCCAGCACTTACCAGCTGCAAACTCAGGTGACAGGACTGGGATCCGGGAAACAACGCAGGAGCAGCACTAAGTGGAAGCTCCAGGATTCAGTGTCTGCCCTTCTGCTTCTCTCCTTTTATTCCCCTTGCTAGCCACACCTCTGCCTCCCAGATCCACCCTTCCTACCACTCCCAGAGCACTGATTGGTTCCTCCCTTTCTACCCTGTTAATCCGGTGGGGCTCTGGGACTTTCCCATGCTGATTGTAAGGCACAGATCCATAGGAGCAAACTAATAGTCTTAGGAGAGAAGGGAAGGCAAAGTTTCAGCCCCTGATCCTCTTCAAACACAGATAAAGTTTAATTATTATGTGGCAGTTACAACTATGAATGTGAGTGAGGAAATTAACTAAGGGGCTCCTGACTTGGGCAAGAGTGGTCCCTGTAAAGTGATGTTTGCCATTATCCAAAGTTTGACTGTTCCAGAACGAAAGTCATTGTACTGTGTTAGAGTGCTGTGGCTGGTGGCTACTGTCCCTCCTGCTTGGAATGCTGGAGCATTGATTAAGACTGTGTTACAAAAAGTGTGTTCGCCTCAGAAATCAGAACAAAAGTGGCAGGGCCTATGTCAGTAATACAATGTGCCTGGAGCCCGAGGTAGGGTGATCACAGGAAAATGTTCAGCCCGAAGAGTTTAGTGGATCGTCAAGACCCTCTCTTCCAAATAATAGAAGAAGCTGGGTGTGGTGCACATCTTTAATCCCAGTACTTGGAGGCTGTGGCTGTGGCAGGAAGGTTGTTGCAATTTCTACACGGATTTTGTCTACATAATTCAAAGCCATTGACAACTCCATAGAGATCTCCTTTGTCATAAATAAATAAATAAATAAATAAATAAATAAATAAATAAATGAAAGAAGGTGATGAGCTTGAGCTCCCAATTGTTGTCCAATTACCAACAATGGACAAATGGATCAACACAGATATCACATATCTTTAGATCTGTGTACACTGAGAGAGAAATTAAGCCACACTCTACTGTGCTACTGAGGAAAATTTATGTTAAGTGGTGCTGGGCATTGTACCCAGGTCCTTGCTCATTCCTGGTGAGCACTGCCAGTGAGCTGTATCCTCATTGCTCTGGTGGTGAGCCTCATAGTACCTTCCTCCCTCAGCCTTCTGAGGACTTCGGTTATAGACACGTGCTACCATGATGCCTGCAAATCTTAGATTTTCCTGATATGAAAGACTAAACTGTCATGCATATGTAAGGAAATTTATTCTATTTGTAACATTTCCCTGGATTTGAAAAAAGACATAAAATGAAGTCATAGCCCTTTTGAAGCCACTGTTTGTGTCCAAACATAGTTTCATAATAAGTGAAAAGGACTACTATATTTGAGGAGGAATGAGGAGTTCAGGAGTTGAGGGCACCAGAAGGGTCCAGGGCAGAGTTTTCAGGGGGAGACCTGTGATTGGGGGTGAGTCCTTGACTTATGAATATTCCAGTTTTGAACTGCAACAGGTAGGATTGGAGTAAATGTGTGGTTTATTGTAATTTGCTCTGTATATCTGTCATAGGTGTGTGGGAGTCAGTTTATTTGACTTAAAAATGAATTACATGTGTGAGCTTGTTCTTTAAATTGATTTTGTACCTATATCAGGGATGTAGTATACACAAATTTTTAACCACTGCTTTTCTTTACTTTCCATTGCTTTCCTTTTCCTTGTTTTTATTTTAACTTTCCTTCATTTTGTCCCTTCCCCTTTCCCTCATTACTCCCTTCACTTCTTTAATTTTTCTTTTGTTGTTTCCGTTTTCCCAATGACATGCCCTTACTTCCTATTGCTACTATCCATGCAGCCCTAGGCTGAGGGAAAATAGCTGCCGTGATCGGCGGTGGGGGCCCTGGGCTTCACAGCACTCAAAGGTCCAATGCAGCTTCGTTATTCACACAAGAGGTAATGCGTCCTTTCGTTAAGGGCACCTAGTGGTGAAATGTTGTACCTAAGGCTATTGTGCAACATAATCATGAAATTCAAAAAAGTGAGCCTGAGTGCACAGGAACTCTTAGCAAAATCATAGTTGGAGGTACAATAATTCCTGGGAGCTTCCATTCCCAGGACAAAGATCCAAATCCTGAAAATGCACCAATAGAAAGGAAGATTTATTTGCCAACGCTGCTTGAAGCATGAGTCATGACTCTAGTTCTAAACAGCAAATCAATTTTATATGAGTCACGACTGCAGTTCTTAACTGCAAATGGATTTTATACTTCTTTTTTCATCTATTTTATTATTACTATTTTATTTCTTTATTTGTTTATTTATTTTGCCAGAGCAAAGGTTTGAACTCAGGCTCTTGCACTTGCAGGCATGTGCTTATTCTTCTGTGCTATCTTCCAGGACCCTTGATTTTATTTAAAGAATACAAAATTATGAAACTTTATTAGAAACAATAAAAATTTTTTAAACAATTTAAAGGAATGCAGAAGTGGCTGTTGTATTGCCTGGCACCTTCAAATTAGATGCTTATTTTACCAGATGAAAAGCAATAACAAATACGGGAGAGGATGTGGGGAAAAGGAATCCTTCTTCACTGTTGGTGGGACTGCAGCCTGGTTCAGGCACTGTGGTAATCAGTGTAGAATTTTCTTATAAAGCTAGTACTGCAGGCCATATTCAAGCCAGAAATTGCCCTCCTAGGTATTTTTCAGAAAAAACTGTCATCATCATACCACAGTGGTATATGTTCACTGATGTTTGTAGCAGCACCATTTTCATAGCTAAGGTTTTTATTCATTTTTTTATTTAAGAACATATTCATTTACTTGGTGTCGAGTTTCCACCAGGCAGCTTGAACTTATAGTGATCCTCCTGTCTCAGCCCCTCCAGTGCTGGGATTAAGGAAGTGTGCTGCCACACCCTCTTTCAGTGGTGGGCATCTTGGTGTTGTGTGTGACATCTGATAGCAAACCGAGGTTTTTACCCTTGCCAGGCAGGCATGATAACACAAACAGTTGAAATGATCGAAATATCATCCAACCGAGGAATGGATAAAGAGATGTGGTATTTTTAAGCAACAGAATATTACTCTGATATAGAGAATGCTGTACCCTGTCAAAATTGACTCCATTTTGTTGCCCTTCTAACCTCGCCGAGTTCCTGTTCTGTATGGGCCGACCCCTCCCAACTCCTTACCCCTATAACTCAAGTCTTATGATATCTGTTTTCCAAAACCTTATCTCAATGAACTATATATGACTGCCAACTCAGCACCTCCACCAAAGAGGACCACCCCCATGAACTAATGACCCACTGTACCCCATGATTTCTGATTTCGGCACCCCACCCAATAGGACCACCTAATGAACTAATGACCCTGCCACTTCTTCCTCTCCACCCCTTCCCTGTTTTTGCGGTTTTCAAGCTTAAATACTGATCCTTATCAAAATGCTCAGCAAGCCTCTTTGCACCTTGCATAGAGACCGCTGCTTGGTACCAGCTAAAATAAAGCGCTTCTTTTAAATTTTGGACTTGCCTCATTGTCATCTGATTTTTGAGCTGCAACATTTGGGGGCTTATCCTGGATCCCTAAATGTCAGGCGCCCTCCCGTCCAGCAGGAAAGCACTCAACACGATTTGTGCGGTGGAAAGGCTTTAATCGTTCTCCTGAGTGATGCGCCCCGAGAGAGCACAGTTCCTCTCTCCGTCCCTCTTCCTGTCTCTGACTCTCCGCGTCGCGGAGCGTTTCTTTTATATCCTCACACTGTCCAATCGAGGGTTGATACATGTTACAGCGCCATTGGTTACAATCTCAGGGAAGGTATCTTACATCATTATAGGCGGGTGTATAGCGACTGCGGAAGCAGGAAATGAGCGCCATCTTGGCACACTCGGTGGGAGGGGTAATCTAGCGCAGGCTTCAAGGGCTGCAGCAGGCCTCACCCAATGGTCCCTAGGATTTTTGGTTCTGAAGCCGCGATTCGCGGCATGGGCTCTCTACACCTAAAGGCCACTTCTTTTTAACGCAGTAAGTAAATTTCAACCTAATTTTTTTCTCACTGGCTTGGTTTTGATTTGGCTTTACAAATTTAAAAGAACTTTGGTCACTGCGTCAACCTTTCCTTTCTCTTTGCTTCTCCTTTCATCTTTGGTTGCTTTTAGAAGTTGTGAGCCGTGGTTTCCATGACCTCTGGTGTCTCTTCAAGTGTGATTCCTTTAGTACACCTCTACTAACCTACTAACTTGGTTCTCCTTTCATTTCCTCTACTAACTTGGTTTACTAACTTGATTTTGAGGGATCTCACTTGCAGGGAGGCAAATGGACCTAGGTGCCCCTTTCGCCAATTGGTCGCCTTTAGAGATTATGGACTTCGGTCATATGTAGAGGTTTCCGTGACCTTTGGGGTCTCTTTAGGTAAGTTTTTTACCCCCTACCCCTACAAATCCTTACTGTAGGGGTCTAGCAGCTTGTGCTCAACCTCTCATTTCACATCTCCCTTTGAGATTTACCCCTACCCGCTTACCCCTGCAGATTTGGTTCTCTGAGAATTCAGTTTGGGCTGGCCTTCAGTGCAATGATCTTTCCTCTCACAAAAATTTTGTGTGGGCTATACTCTTTGAGAGTTTGAGCATTAATAATACTCAATACCCCTGCAGATTTGGTGTCATTTGCACTGACTGTAGGGGATCTATTCTCCACACAAGATTTGTTTGGTATTTGGGGGCCTGTTATTTGTTTTTGATTTTGTTTGGTCTATTTATGTTTGTCTGTTTTTCTTAGGACCTGTCAGCCAGTTCTTGGATAAATTTGTTATTAAAATATTGGTCAAAATGTTGATAAATTTAACTAAGACATAACATTGTTATAAGGTCATGATATTTCTTTAATGGGACATTTTATGACTGTTTTATATTTGTATATGCTACATTTGAACTGATTATTAAATGTACTGGTATTCCTTTTACAATTTTAAGCAACGTCACTAGAGGGTAAAGTTAATAAGATTCTTATCGGATTTTATGTAAACTTCTGTAAAATAAAACTTTAGCCAGCTCAAACTTAAAAAACCTACATGCCTATCTAAAAAACGGAACTCCTTTTGCCAGTTAAATGACATTAGGTCGGCAACTATTCTTAAAGACTTGGAGGACAGGTTCCACTGGGATAGACTGGTTCTGATCCCTCTCTACATGTTAGGGGGAATGTCAGGCCCGATCTGTTTCAGTTTCCTTGCTTTAACTTTATTCCTAATTTTTCTGTCTCTTTGCACTTTCCTCTTTAAAAAAGGCATGTAAAAATTAAAAACCCTGATTGTTCAAGCTAAGTAAAGCCCTTAGAAAATGAGCGTTTGTTAATGCCGAAGACAGGAAGCCATTCTAGAAAGGACACATACCCCATCTCTGGGTCAGATGGGACAAAGAAAAATTATGCCCATCCAGGAGGACACATATAAAAGCCATGTCCTTGCTTAGTGTTCTGGGCAAATCTCCTTTGGGAGACTAAACCTGAGACACAGTGGAGAGAACTGACTTCTGGGTGACACCAGAAGGAGCCATCTCCAAAAGCAGCACACTTATGGGACCAAAACTTTTAAGTATGAGAAAAATTCGACCTTTTCTCCTAAGTTTCATTTAGTGGGATAAGAAATAAATTAAAACATAAGGCTTTTATTATAAAATGCTTAAATAATCTTGTTCAGGCTTTTAAGATATTTCCTATAAAATTTGGATAAACAGTGTATATGCCTATGTTTTGTCTGTTCTTTTAATGCAACCTATTGGATCGAGAGATTTTCAGACTCTCGTTCCTCCGCCACGTCATAAGTGAGTTTCCCGTCCGCTGCCATTTTCGTTCACAGTCTTTGTTGGATCTTGTCACGTGTTTGGCCCTGTGAAGATGGGACAACCTACTTTGTCATCCTCCCCCTTGTCTCTTACCTGAATCATTTTTCCACCTTCCAAGATCGAGCAAAGGGATACGGAGCCTCATTTTACCCAGGAAAACTCTGCATTCTTTGTGAATTAGAATGGCCGATCTCATCGGGGGGCCTCTGGCCCTCCGAGGGATCTTTTGACTTCCCTTTGGCTCAGGCTGTTCAACAGGTCATTTTAGGTAAGCCTGGACACCCGGACCAGGTCATCTACATTCAGGTCTGGATCGATTTGATTTATGATCCCCCATTGTGGCTCAGGAAGTCGCTTCAGAAGCCCTCTGTCCTTGCTCCCTTAAAACCTTCTCATTCCCCCCAAAAGCCCCAAGTCCCAGAATCCCCACCTCAGGATGACCTTCCTCCTCCCTATAGGACGCCCCTCTCCTCTTCAGGCCCCACCCCAACCCCCTTCACCTCCTCTCCCACATCAGGCTCCTTCTCCTCCACCTCCCTCCCAGCTCCAAGCTATCTTGGTGCCTCCTAGTCCACACCATACCCAGAGCTGCAGGCAACCATCACCAGATTCATCCACTCTCTCTCCTCATACCCTTCACTTATACCCTCTCTGCAAAACCTTTTTGGGGTCAGATCAAGCCCCCTTGATGATGTATGTCCCCTTTACCACTTCTGATTTATATAACTGGAAAAATCAGAACCCATCCTTTTCCAAAGACCCACAAGGCCTTATTAGCCTTTTGGAACATATCTGTTACACCCATCGCCCCACCTGGGACAATTGTCAACAACTCCTTCAGACCATTTTTACTGCAGAAGAAAGAGACCACATCTGCGGAGCAGCCCATCGGGCTGTCATGAGCCCAGATGGAAATCCCACCACTGATCCTGCCCACCAAGAAGCCATCTTCCCTCTGCGGAGCCCAGACTGGGATCGGAATACTGATAGAGGTAAGGAGGCTCTCGACAGGTATCGCCAGCTTCTTCTGGGAGCCCTTAAGGCAGCAGCCTGGAAGCCCACCATCCTATCCAAGGTATCAGAGGTAGGACAATTGGCTACTGAGTCCCCTGCTGCTTACTTGGAAAGACTCCTAGAAGCCTACCGTATCTATACTCCAATAGATCCAGAGGCACCCGAAACATGCATGAGCCATAAATATTGTGTTTGTGACACAGTCAGCCCCTGACATAAAATGAAAATTGCAGAAAGTAGAGGATTTTGAGGGAGCACCCCTTAGTCAGCTCACAGAGATTGCTCAGAAGGTTTTTGATCAGCGTGAATCCAAGGAAGATAAAAACAAAAAGAGACTTACTAAGATTCTTGAATGTCTGGTCACTGGGAACGGGCCAACCAATAAAGGGGAAAAATGACCTCCTCTTGAAAAAGATCAATGTGCTTATTGTAAGGAAAAGGGACCCTGGGCCAAGGACTGTCCTAAATTAAAGACTAAACTGGAAAAAGTTGCGAAAGTCCTCCTTAATCAACATTAGGGAAGTCAGGGCTCACGCGCACCCCTCAGCCCAGGCTAACTTTAACTGTTGGGGGGCAACCCGTAGACTTTCTGGTAGACTCCAGAGCAACTCACTCCGTTTTGACTCAACCAACTGGAACTCCCACAGGAACTTCAATGAAGGTCATGGGGGCCACAGGACAAACTAAAATAGTAAAACCACTTAGGGCATTACTGGGGTAACCTGGACAGCCCCTAATGAGCCACATCTTTCTTTGGGCACCCAACTGTCCAGACCCACTCCTGGGTAGAGATCTCCTACATAAATTAAGATCACAGTTGAGTTTTGAGACCGAAACGCCTACTGTAACTATTGAGAATCCAATCATTAAGGTGATGGCCCAGTTCCCGGTAGGGGAAAGCCACATCTTATTTCAAGAAGTTTTAGAACCTGAGGAACAGAGATTTGATTTGACAGAAAGAGATGAATTGCTATACATTTGGACTCAACAAATCCCAGAAGTATGGGTGTGGAAGGCCCAAAGAATTTTTAAAGTGCAAACTCTGGTCACAAGGGACCTCCCACTAGTCCTTGACCAAAAGGCTTAAGTAACCCTTATCTTGGAACCCAGGTGGAGTCATAAAGCCTCAGGCCTGGCTTAGGTAAACATTTAATCTCCAACCTGGGGGCATCCTTGTGAAATAGGACACCTTACATAGATAAACCCACCAGTTCTCGTAATGCAGCTGAAACCACAGAGTTAACTATTTAGTTGCCCTGTAGCCTGCCCCTCTTAGATTCCTCGAAAGGTCATATGTTCTCAAACCCACCAATTATTTTAAGAACCAACCCAAACTAACCAATGCCATTCGCTTCTGTAACCCCACTTGCTAAACCCCTCCTCCCTTTGTCTCTGGACTTAAAAACACAGCCCACGGTCAGCTCGGTGCGCTCTGTTCCTGCGTGTTCAGGCCACCCTGCATGCACGTAGACAATAAAGCTTGCCCTTTGTGATTTACATGAGAGATCGACTCTTGGGGCCTTCCTTCACGGTGACTCGACCCTTACATTTGGGGGCTCGTCCGGGATGGTCTCCCATGTGGGAGGACCCCAACAGCCGAAGAAACCTCAGGGTAAGTATGGCCGTTTAATTTTATGTCCAGATTTTGTTTCGTTTTTGAGTCTCTTGTTTTGTTATAGTTGGTGAACGTTCAATCTGTTTGTAGTGACTGGGAACAAAACGCGTAAGCGTTGCGATCCCCGTGGCACTGTGGTTCAAGGCGCGTGAGCCCTTGAATCATTCCCTCTTCCTGATGTTGTTCCGGGATTTGGTTTGGGCCACAAGTCACATCTGGCCGGCATTTGTCTATTGGTCCTGACTGGCGGCGAGGAGCGTAAGCACTCGCTGTCTGCGATTGGCAGATGTGCCTGTATTCGCAGGTCATTCAGCCAAGGGACGCCATGGTGTGGTTTTGGATCCTTGGATCCATCTGTACGTGCCCTCCGAGGGAGGGACCTGTATGGCCAATAGATTCTGTTGGGTACCCGCCTGTGTTTGTCTGTCACATTTGTTGTGTTTGTTGTTTGTGTGTCCGGCGCCATAACTACCTTTTCCTCCTCTTACAGCACCAGCAACATTTCCTTTGTTAATGACTATTCTCTCCTCAGCGGGATCCCCCTCCCGCCGGCATCCTTCACGTGTCGCCGGTTATTTGTTTGCAGCCTATTTCACTGTTTTCACCTTCCTTTGTCCCTTTGGAGTTCTGTGGGACATCGGTTATTTTGATAATATGGGACAAGTCACATCTGCTCCCCTAGCCCTTACCCTAGGTCATTGGTTGGAGGTTAAGGGGAGAGCACATAATCTTTCTTTGACTGTTAAAAAAGGAAAATGACAAACTCTCTGTTCTTCAGAGTGGCCCTCCTTCCAGGTGGGATGACCTCCAGAGGGATCTTTTCACCCATCTCTGGTTCAAACAATAAAGACTGTAATCTTCCATTCCGGTCGCTATGGCCACCCTGACCAATAACCATATATTTTGGTTTGGCAAGATCTTTGTGAGAATCCACCAGAGTGGGTAAGACCTTTTCTTCCTCCAGCTCCACCTGGACCGGCTACCCTCTTGCCAGTTAAGACTCAATCTTCACCTCCTGGTCTCTATCCACCCACCTGGATCAAAAAATTTATCAAGGCTGTAATCTACCACCCTACGCACCTTCTTCTTCTTAGTCCCCTTAGCTCCTCCAAAGAAGGACTCGGAGCTGACACCCTCCACCATCCGTTGCTGACTCCCTGAAATGACTCAAGGTTTGCTGTTCTGGACACCATTCCCAGACAACTGGCTAATTCCACCTGGATGCACTAGCAGTTCCAACTGGTAAGAAGCGGCTGTGACTCCCGACCATCACCCTCAGGACTGGCTTATCCTGCCTGCCACCCAGTACATAGATAAATTCATTATGCAAATGTTAAAATATTGGCCAAAATGTGTTGCCAAATTTAAGCTAAAACCTAAAATTGTTATAAGGTTATGATATTTCTTTAATGGGACATTTTATGACTATTTTATATTTGTATGTGCTACATTTGAACTAGTTGTTAAATGTACTGGTATTCTTTGTTCAATTTTAGATGATAGCACTAGAGAGGGTAAGGTTAATAAGCTTCCTATTGGATTTGATGTAAACCTCTGTGAAATGGGATTTTTAGCCAGCTTGAACTTAAAAATATACATGCCTGTATGTGAAAAACGGGACTCCTTTTGCCAGTTAAATGACATTAGGTCGGCAACCGTTCTTAAAAC